TGTGTGTGTGTGTGTGTGTGTGTGTGTGTGTGTGTGTGTAGGACTACTATGTGGTGATCCTTTGCCCGGCAGAGATGGACGTCCAGGTTAGGAGGGTCCTTCACGTCCCTCTGTGGGCTCTGAGAGTCATCTACCTGCAGGGGTCTGCCCTCAAAGACCAGGACCTTATGAGGGCCAAGTGAGTGATTGTCTTCATCAGAAAGATAATTATAACCAAATTAACATCTGAGCCGTATAAACCCACAATGACCCACAACACGCTGAAGCTAGAGTCCACTATTAATTTCTAAAGTATCTTGAGATTTGAGCTGTAATTGAATCAAGATGGATTTTATTTTTATTCCAATAATCCTGACACAGCATGTGTAGCCCAACAAAAAAATAGCCTTTTTATTTATTCTCCCCCTCCTACAGTCTCATCTTCATATGTGGGCTTTAACGTTACATCCAAACATTTGTTGTTCAGTCGTCCCACTTTTTTTTCTTCTTTTGTCCTCTCTAACAATAACGTGACAACACCCTTTTCCCTGTGTCTCTCGGCCTCCCCCGACTCTCTCTTCTTCTTTCTCTCCCTCCCACTTCGCCTCTTTTGGTCCCGTCATTTTCTGCTCCACTAACTACCTGCAGGATGGACGATGCAGAGGCCTGCTTCATCCTCAGTAACCGGTTTGAAGTGGACCGTATCGCTGCTGTACGTGTCTAACCTTTTCTCTGTAATTTCATGACTCTTTCCAGTCCAAAGGATCAGCTGTAATCATGGGCACATAACGATTGTTTCCAGGGCCGGCTCGTGGCATAGGCAGTACAGCCAAATGCTGAGGGCACTGTCCATCTAGGGGGGGCACCACAAATGGGKGACAAAAAAAGTATTTTACAGCTTTTTGTCAGAGTATAACTGATGTTGTCTGTAGAATAATCACTGATTACTCAAGTTTATGAATGTAACTTGTTGTTCTGTGGGTTTCTCAGCCTGCTTGTTTGGTTTGAGTAGACGTTTTACTAAATTTTCTTGGGGAATATACCCCTGGACCCCCTTAGAACTGCTCCACTCCACAGGTGCTCGATAACCTGAACAGGTGTTCCTTATTGCTGTCAGCTAATGTTGGCAGGTATGAGGTAGACTTCTGGTGTTCTGTTTCAAATTGATTATACCATTAACTATTTTAATTGGGCAATGTAGTTTATAAARATAAATGGTACAGATAAAAATTATATTAAATTCAAACATTTAAAATTTATTATGTGAATGTATGTAAACTGGCAATGAGATTTAGTAAATTGTACAAGGGGCACCACTAAAAATATTTGCCTAGGGTGCCAAATTGGCTAGAACTGGCCCTGATTGCATCCTTACTTTATGAAGAATATTTGCTTTGTAGGATCTACAGAACAGTGTTTTATTAATTTATCTATTGTATTAGATAAAACAAATGAAAAGTTTAAAACATTTTATTCAAGTGTAAAAAGCTTGCACATTCTGCTAAACTGCAGTGTGAATGCTGAGCGCTAAATGATTTTTGCTGAAATTTGCAGAATAACAAAAGTAGAAAAGGTAAGCCAGAAATAAAGAGTTGCAAATCTCTAGCTGAAAGTATCTTTAGCCAAATATTAGCATTAAAATACATTAGCCAAAAGCTAGCATTGTTTAGCATAACGAAAAGCATTAGCAGTAGCGGTACTATTAGCATTAGTTGAATAAATTACTAAAAAAAATAGAAATAGCAGTTACTATTAGCATAAATATACTACAGTACATTTTAAGGACAATGTTGTTGAAGGAATTGTAGAGATCTTAATGTTTTTTTTACTAAGAGAAATCATTTAAAATGTACACAAGTTATGGATACTAAAAGTCATAGAAATGTCCTGAATGGGCCAAACGTTTTGATACCTGAACAGCTGAAATAACATATAAAAATTATGACGGAGTTAGATTCTCCTCAAATGACAACAATAATGTGAATGCTGAATCCACATTCACACGTTCTGTGTCAGCCTAACAGAGGCACCAGCTCGGCTGTAAATCTGCAGTCCTGCATTTCTTTTCAGTGAATTTTAAACGCCCGTCTCAGGAGCAGCTTTACAGTTTACTCATCGTGCTCTTTCAACAGCCGGCCTTGAAATGTCAGAATTGTATTACTCTGACCTTTTAAGATCATTCAATTGCTCCACACCAGCAGCGGTCGAAGGCAGATTGTTGTAAAGGTGCTACAGTCGGCTGCTCCTAATGACCACTCTGTACCTCACGTTCTGCCTTAATTCTTTCTTCCTGCTGTTCTTCCGTCTKTCTTTTTTTTTTTTTTTACCAGGATCATCAAACCATCCTAAGAGCCTGGGCAGTCAAAGACTTCGCCCCAAACTGCCCCCTGTACGTCCAGATTCTCAAGCCGGAGAACAAGTTTCACGTTAAGTTTGCAGGTGAGCAGAAAAATGAAAGATGTTGGTAGGGATATGGGTCAGTGTGTGTCTTTTGGTCATTGGAATTTCATTTTGGAAATGGGTATTAAAAAACAAGAAATGAGTGGTTATTTGATTTTTGTTTTAAAATATAGAAATTAAAATTAAAATACAAAGTGTTTCTCATTCTTTGTGTCAAAAAGAGATGACCATTTTTAATGACTTAAAAWTTTTCTGTTTCAGACAACAAAAAAGAAAATTACTTTAAAACAGAAATGAAAAAAGCCTTGTTTGTTTATATTCCATGACAGGTTGTGCAACTTACTGTATCCCTAAAATAATTTGTTTTTACCACAAAATATCAAAGTTATTCAATAAACATCCCATTACAAGTAAAAAGCATTGATACTGACTTCGGTATCCAGTATTTATTTGGTATGAGATCAGTATCAAAGTCGTAGAATCGCCCACCCCTCGCTGAAAGGAAYACTCCCAGGATGCAAAAAAAGAACTTCCTGCTTACAGGACAACTACTGTTCAACACACTAATGGAATGAAATTTATCTTAATTTGCTTTTTATTCAGAGAAATGGAGGTGAAGTGGAGGCAGTAGCCAACATGGATTCCCGTAAAAAAAAAAGATTTATTTGGCCAAAAGCCACATGAGGTATCTCTGCAAAACCTTTGGTCACAGAGCAACAGTCACCATACAACTCATTTATGGACATATACACGTCTGTGTTTCAGCCTTTTATTCACAGAAATTTGTGTTTTATTATGCAGAGTTGCCAGGCTAGCGCCGCTTCTGGTGAGGGGAATAGATAGTCGTAAAATAACAAATGAGCCTTTTTTCGTTYCTGTTTTAAAGTTATTTTCTTTTTTGTTATCTGAAACTGAAAATTAAACTCAAGCCATTTAAAAAAAATCATTCATCCCTTTTTGACACTAAGAATGAGAAACGCTTTGTATTTTAATTTTAGTTTCTATATTTTAAAACAAAAATCAAATTACCACTCATTTCTTGTTTTTTAATACCCGTTTCTAAAATGAAAATCCAATGACCAAAAGATACACTGACCRATATGAGTAACACTTTCAACCTTTGATAACTCTTGTCATGAAAGGCGGTGAGCGATGTGCATTATTTAATGTTTAAGTTTTTTTTTTTAAATACGCAGCTTTCATATCTGCACAAATAATTCCAGAGCACCATCAGCTGATGTGATATTTTTAGCCCTAAACATGTTGTATCGGAGGCTTTGTGCATCGCAGCTCTCCATCTTCTCAGCTCTGAAGAAGAGCAGCACAGATTGGCACAGCTTGCCTGTAAGCCTTTCAGGAGTTGTTCTGAGTTTTCATCATTGCTTTTTTGGAGATTCTCCATTCTACTCCTTCTCAGCAGACGACGCCAGTCCAGTTCTCCAAAACTAACACCCTATCTTTCGCTCACACGTCTTCTTGCCTGCAGAACCGATAGACCCAATTCCAGATCGCCACCTTTATCCCAGCTGTCTCTATCGATGATCAGCATTTTATTTTTTTTTTTTAACTTTGCCACCTTCGAAAAAGAAAATCCCTTCTTTTGATGAGTTCTGGAGCGGCGCTAACCTGGCAGTCGAGCTCTCCCCACTGGGTAATCCCCCTGCAGTGCCGTTAAAACACTTCACAGTCAGACTCAGGGTTTGTTATTAGCGAGGCAGGGATTGCTTGGCAAAAGGAGAATTTCATGTTCGTCCATTATCACACCCTTTATACAGTACATGATGAACAGCGAGCTCTGCAGCATGAATCGTCTGCTTGTCTGCTGAGTTCCTGACAGCTTTGATGTTTTATCTCTCATAAACATACCGTTTGACATGTTGAAAAGGCCTCCGTGCTCATTTTAGAGACTTCATTTGGCTTTGAAGGATGTGAATTTTGTGTCCTGCCTCGAAGCTAATTGCTGCTCCCCTTTTTGATGGAGCAGATAATTAGTGTTTTTGTGATTCTAGGTTTCTTAAAGCCCTTTTTACCAAGCAAATTTCACAATGAGCCGAGTTTAACGCACCCCTTTGTCCTGAGCTCACAATAGGTAGCCTCACAGAGCCGTGTGGGCGTTACAGATGCCAAAATTTGATACCACTTGGAAACACTCGTCAAGCGATGGCCTGGGAGGCAACAATGAGCAAGAGACACGCGCTTTAATTCGATCCACACACTCAGATTAATAAGAGCTGAGCGTTCGGTGTGATGCTACAGCAGAACAAGAAACCTCGAGGAGTTTCAGCTACCACACAGGGAATCTATTGATTATTTATCTAATTTATGTTTTGAATAAAAAAAAAAGAAAATCCCATTGCCCTCCAGAGCTCAGCTTATTGTAATGGCTCACTTGTACATGCAGCAGCACCTTTACTGATTTAATTAGCTGTGCTGGAGGACCTGTGGTCATGTTCTAATTGCTCTCTTGCAGGCGGTGTATGTAAGTACATTTACATGAGCGCATGCACACTTGAGGTTACACGTTTGAACCTCCTTTGTAGGGAAAAAAATGAAGAAATGAGCTAAAGCAAGAATGGCAAGAAATGGAAAGTTTGTGCCATGATAAGATTGTTTTATTTTACAACTCCAGCATGAAAGGCAGTGGATATATGCATTCCTTTATGTTCAAAAACTTGTAATGTAATATAATTAAAAATAACTTGCACAGTAAAATATTGTTACCAGTTTTACAAGCATTTTTACTGTACGAAGATAAAATACTCCCAAACAGAGCATTTGAAAAAATCAAGCCATTGTTTGTCAGTTGAAAGTTTTTTTTTTTTCTGCAGGATTGTTCAAATCTTCTTAAGAAGCCTGATTCATGCTGGACTTTTCTATTTGACTCATTAGCACTACTAGTGTTTGAACATGGAACTGCATCATAAAAATAAGTTAAGACCTCTGAATGGATTCTTGAGTAAACTGTTTCGTCTCTCCTCCAAGAGACTTCTTTATCTTTATGTTTTATGTTTTATGCATCCACCATCATCAGAACAAATGAGTGACAGGACAGAGGCACTTCAGCGGGCCATTCAGATTTCAGCTGGGGCCAATGCCCCTATGGCCCTGCCCCTAGACCTGCCCCTGATACAGAGTGGAACTGCAATGCTTTGGTCTGAATTCCTCCTTAATGTAACTCCACAAGCCCCTCTTTTAACACTTTTCTGAGGTCTGTCTCAGATCAACTCGTATTGAGGCTGTCTCTTTAAATGCCAATGAGACACTTCTCACCCCGCCTCTCTCTCTAGCTTTCAGAGCGGTCCATTGCAGCTTATAGATGGAGGGGTTTACGATTACACCCAGCCTTACATGTTGATGCTTTTGACTCAGAGTGAGAAAAAAGTGAAGATGACAAAACTGTAGTTTGAATGACAGACCTTATATGTCTGTTCCGTCGCAAAAACTCTGATGTAATAGTTCAGAAAACGTCATCAAAAACAGAAAAAAGTGAACTAGTTGAAAAAATATGACCCAAACAGAATATATAGATACCTTTGCAGCACTGGAAGAAACTAAATTAAACATTTCTGCACTCCTAGAGACTCCAAGTACACAACAAAAATGCATTTAATGGCTAAAAAAGTGTATTTTGCAYGATATTACCCTTTTAAAGAAGGGCTTCAGTGCTGCACGAGCTTTGACTCGAAAATCAACTGACAGAACAGCTAGAGAAACGACGGCGCATTTGCATGTGAGCGAAATTATGATGTGCCTCCATGAGCCAAAAGAACATTGCTACTTAATCAGTATGTTCACAGTTTTAATTGTCATGTTTATCAGCGGCCCACCCTCAGGCACGCACATTAATTCAGAGCGAGCTACATTTAAATCTTATACGGCCTAATGCTTCCCAAACTAGCGGCTGATTGAGYGTGATTCTTCCGCTCGGGCTCTGATGTTTTGTCACCAATTATATCCTCATACCCAACACGTAATGTTGTGCTTTTAGGAGCCCGGCTCAACATGTCTGCCTAATAGGCAGCCCGATATGTCTGTGCGCTGAACTGAAGACAACGCAATCAAAAATTACACAGTGCAGGAAATGGATTCTCCCTCGGCCCGTTTCACTGATTGACTTACAACAAACATTGATCGGTCAATTGGACTTTCCTTTCAAAGAGGAGGCTCGGAGGCAACAGGTAAACGAAAAGTGTCATCTGTGTTTGCTCAGGTTGTTTGGCTGGCCCATACGCGTCGACGTATTAGGCGTTCGATGAAGCGAAAAGTGGCTCAATATGCTCGCTGACCTCTTGCTTCCTCCTCCAAAAGAAAAAAAAAAGGATCAAAGACATGAGGATTTATTACTGAGATGCTCGTTTGATTTAGTTGACAGTTCAAAAYACGGATGTACAGTTTTGTCCCAGTCTTTCACTGAACTGATGTTCTGTAAAAACAAACAAAAACAAAAGAAAAAACGGTGAGCCATCAATACTAATAAAGATGTACAAAATGCCATCTCCGTTTGTTTAAAATTGAAGTCAATGTGTCCATTCTTTTGGATGCTGTCATTTTGGATTTTTTATTTTATTAATCTATTTAGATTCATTACTTTTTCCTATACGATCTTATATTCTTCATTTTGGAAAAGGGGTATAGATCAGCAGCTGTATCACAATATATTAAATTGTTTTGTTTGGTTGACGATATCACAAAGTCTGTCACGATACGATTTCGATTCACTTCAGTTCATAATTCTGTGATTGATATGATGTGATGTCATATGTCCATCTAACACAATTATTGTATTAGATGGGCATGACAGGGCTTTTCAACTGGTGGCCTGCAGGCCACATCTGGCCCGCTAGTGATTTCCATCTGGCCCATCAGTGAGCACCCAAACACATACATTATTTTTCGGGTTTTGTTTTTACTTAATTTAATATATAAACAAATTTCAAATCATTTGTAAATTTAAAATTTATGTTTAGTGCAAAGAATAAACAAATTTAAAAGGCAAAAGAAAATAATACTTGTCTCCACGTGAGCCCCYGATCGTGGGGGGAAATGTCCAGCCCCCGGAAGAATTAAGCTGAATAGCCCTGGCATATGATATCAGTCCACATCTGAGGACAATATGGATCAGTGTTTTTGCTTTGCTTTGATGTAACTGAATCATTAATCGACAATATCAACATCAATGTAGATTGATATATTGTTACACCCCTAATTTGGAATGTCTTTTAATTGTAGCTCTTGCATTAATTATTGCTGTAACTACTGAAGCCAATAAAACACACTTCTGTCCTTCTCTGTGTGCAGATCATGTGGTGTGTGAAGAGGAATTTAAGTACGCCATGCTGGCTCTAAACTGTGTGTGTCCTGGCACCTCCACTCTTATCACTTTATTGATCCATTCCTCCAGAGGACAGTGAGTTTTCTTTTACCCCATCAATCATTTCTTTCTTTTCAACACTCTGTATACAGCCTTCCCATTTTACAATCAAATGAACTGTACATTGGGGAGGAATAAGCAACAAAACACAGCTGCTACTGTCTCCTTCCTGACACTTAGATTGTCTTTTTTTTTTGCATCTCTTAGAACGGCACCCCAGGAGGCTTTCAAACAACGTGCAGGAGCATTTCAGGCTCTTAACCGGTAAAAATTCATTTTACACAAAACAATATAAATTCTTTCAGTTCAGTTTTATTGTCTATTGTTTGCACACAAGAGCTTGTATTCCATGAAGACATGRATGAAATGTTGATTGCTACCTTTCATGCCAGCAATTTAAACTAAAATCATCTTAAGCTGAGAAATCATGAAAATGGCGGCCATCTTTGTTCAGCTTGACTCCAAATATTGATGAGTTGTAGAGGTGTAGAGCGTTTCATGAAACGTGCGATATGTAGCACTTGGAGAATAAATAAAGTTCAGCTACTGTCACGCCAAATTTAACTTCATTTCTGTCAAAGTGAGTTGCAGCCATTTTTCTGTTTCGTTGGCTGTGGCAGACAAATAAACATACTGGTAGGTAACTCTTACTTGTTATAGTCTTATATGTGACCCATCACATAAGTCCCAAAGTGGTATGTCATGCACTGATTAATTTGTTTGCAAAAATTAGATTTTGTCAAAATATAACAAATAAATATCTTATCTACAGATCATTTAAATAAAGTACCTGACATCTCTTAAATAATATTTAATGCCTTTTTTTAGCAGTAGCAACAAAAAACACAATTTTGAGGGGAAAAAAACTTAGATTTTTGTCATTTTCTCAGTGAGCTAGCAAACCTACTTTTCTTTCCAGCTGGTAAATCATACCATACATTGTTTGAGGTTTCCTTGTTAACATGACATCAAAAATTCCTTTTTAGAATAACCTAAAACTAGGGTTTAGACCAAATATCAATAGGTTATCTTGATTCGGACAAATCAAGGAATGCCTCTGGAACCACAGGATGATCCAGGTATCATAATGTAGACCCAAACATTTTCCTCAAAAGAGCCAAAATGGAAATCTATCTGAGGGCTTTGGGCCAAATGTAATAATATAATAGATGAAATTCAAATACATTTTTAGTAAAGTCTTTTTATTTATTTATTTATTTATTTATTTATATGATTAAGCAGCCAGTCCGTTTGCATGCATTTTTATTTATTTATATTTTATTTTTAGCTTGTGCACTTGAGGAAAGTTTGACATTTGCACAGGCAGCAAAGCCTCATGGGACATTTTATAAAATGATAAGTACAGTATTGGTGGTCTTTTAAAGCAGTGGTTCCCAAAGTTGGGGTCGGGACCCAAAGTGGGGTCGTGAAACATCAAGGTGAGGTCCTGAAAAGATTTTATAAAATAATTACATTTTTGCCTTAGTTGCCTAAAATGTATAAATGTAGAATAATAAATATTGTTACTATGCCCATGTTTAGTTGACCTGATACAAATGTTTATCATCCAAAAATAATTGTGGGCACAGGTCAACTGTTATTTTGTGGGTCAAAAGCTGAAAAGTTTGGGAACCACTGTTTTAAAGTGTGCAAATCTACATGTGTGGTTAAATCTAATCTAAATGTCTCTTGCAGTTACTCGTATTTCAAGTTTATTCATATTAAACATAGAATTCAAAGATAACGCAATGAGTGAAGAATCTCTGCATTACAGACCCTTATGTAGTCACTGGGTCAAGTGTTTCGACATAGGGCAAGATGAGATCACAACCTAGAAACCAAGGCAACTGCTGGAGGGCCAAATCAAATGGCTTGGAGGGCCAATTTTAGCCCACGGGCCCCACTTTACCTCTGATGTAGTCTAAAAAGCAGGAATCTGAACATGCGTTTAGGTTATTGTGACCAAATTTGACTTTATCCTCAGTTTGATGTGATGGGTCACATATTGTTTTACAGTATCTGTGTGTTTCGTAAGACTGGACTTGATGCCATTTGTTTCTTTTGGCTGTGCCAATAAAACTTGTCCTCTCCTGCTTTACACTAAAGCAGAAAATTTACTAACACTTCTTTATATAATGTAGTTCTTGTTGCAGGCCACCCACGGTCACACTACCCCCTCACCGTTGCTTCCTGCTATCACCTAAAGCCATATCCCCCCGAGCATGGCTGCTGTCCTCTTAACTGAGCGAAGGAGTAAATCTGTCGCTCAGTTTCTGTCTCCACGTGAGGTCCTGATCGTTCTATCGATCCGTGACACTGACAGAGACGGAGGATGTTCCCACTTAATGGAAAGTCTTCTCCGTGTGACCCTGGTGCTGAGCTGAGTGCTTCGTATAGGTTTCAAAGGTCACAATTTTCCACATCTGTCTTTTTTCTCTCTCTCTCTCTCTCTCTCTCTCTCTCTCTCTCTCTCTCTCTTTCTTTCTCAGGGAAGGTGGTGCAAGCTCACCAGACCAGTGGCACCGGACCTACCGGCGCTGCTCAGCCAACGAGGTGCATCACATCCGTCTGGAAGAGAGTAAATTCTTTGGGGAATACCAGGGCAAGAGTTTCACCTTTGCCTCTTTTCACGCACACAAAAAGTGAGTTTTACATTTTTTTTTATTCTCTTGAAGGTCTGCACATCGTTTTAGSCCTTTCAAACCAGATATGATGTACATCTAATAATTACTTTATGATGTTTTCTTCAAATCTGTCTGTTGGTACAAACACATGGGCAAAAAAAAACATAATCGCCTCCTGCCTTTGGAGGTGGGTGATAAAAAAAAAAAACTTGCGACATCACAGCTGAGAGCTAAACTGGTCTGTGCGTCCGCAGGTTTGGAGTGTGTTTGATCGGCGTGCGCAGACTGGACACCACCAACATCCTGCTGAACCCGGGCCCGTGTCACATCATGGGGGCCTCCGACATGTGTTTCTACATCAACATCTCCAAAGAGGAGAACTCGGCCTTCGTCCGGGGACAGAGGGAGCCGTCCTGGGGGGGCACGGGGGTCGATTCAAGAGGAGTGCACCAGAGCATCTACCATGGACTCACCCGGCTGCCCGTTCACAGCATCATCGCCAGCATGGGTCAGACTGGGGCACGTTTACACAACTCACACAAACCTACAGCTACAAATAAGCTTTCAGAACTTCACACATGAAGCTTGTTTGCAAGATTTGAAAAATACTAATAGCTTTGCAGAACAGTGATTATAAAATACACTTGATCGTTGCCAAATGTCTAATTCTGTGGCTGCACAAACCTGCCCCCTAGTGGACAACAATGGACATATGCTGTGCTGCATATGTTTTCATAATTCTGAACATTGCTTGTAACCCTCTCTGTTTCTGTATTTGTGTGTTTTTGTTTCAGGCACCGTGGCCATCGATCTGCAGGACTCCAGCGACAGCAGCCCTGAAGGTCAGGACCCGGGCAGCACGGGGCTCGGCAGTGGAAGAGGCAGCAGGAGCAGCTCCAGGACAGAGATGGTGGGGGCCAACACCCTGGCCCTGCCCGCCATGGGAGAGTCGGCGGATGAGAGGCGGCACAGCATCGCGCCCGTCCTGGAGCTGGTGGAYGGCGTCAACAACCCCACCTTCGACCTTCTGGGGGAACAGTCAGAGGACGAGGGAGGAGACGAGAGCAAGGACGACAGCGACAAAGACGAAAATGCTCACTGGTGGGGGCGACTGTGCGAGTGAGTACCAGCGAGGCTGTGGATGGAGATGTTTGAGTAAGTTCACAGGTTAACGTGGGCCTGTCCTACAGGTGGGTGAAGGGATACCCCCCAAACTCTCCGTACATCGGGAGCTCACCTGCACTTTGCCATCTTTTACAAGAAAAGATGCCTTTCTGCTGCCTCCGCATGGACAAGGTACAAAATCTTAACGACTTGAGGGAATGATTATTCACATTCACGCTATTCCTTTTTTGTTTGTTTGTTTTTTATGTTTATGTTGAGTTTAGCTTTGAGCTATTGGTTTGCTATTTTTAGCTTTAACAAGCTTCTGGATTTTATTTGCCCTTATCCAGTATTGTGGGGTTTTTTTATTCTTTTTTTTGCGCTGTTGGCTTGTTTATTTATACTTTTCACTTACTTTTGGTTGCTTTTGAGCTTTTAATTTAGCTTAGTGCTGTTTTTAGATTCTAGTTATCTTTTTGTAACTTTTAGCTTCTATTTGCTTTTTGCTACTTTTAGCTATTAGCCATTGTTTGGATATTTTTAGCTTGCTTTTTGTTGCTTTTGAGCTTTTAATTTAGCTTAGTGCAATTTGTAGCTTCTAGCTAGCTTTTTTCGGCCGAAATGAGTTTCCTCCGCAGGGTGTCTGGGCTCTACCTTAGAGAGAGGGTGAGAAGCTCAGTCATCCAGGAGGGACTCAGAGTAGAGCCGCTGCTCCTCCACGTCGAGAGGAGCCAGTTGAGGTGGTTCATCTGGTGAGGATGCCTCCTGGACGCCTCCCTGAGGTGTTCCAGGCACGTCCCACTGGGAGGAGACCCAGAGGAAGACCCAGGACACGCTGGAGGGACTATGTCTCTCGGCTGGCCTGGGAATGCCTTGGGATTCACCCAGAGGAGCTGGTCCAAGTAGATGGGGAGAGGGAAGTCTGGGTCTCTCTGCTTAGGCTGCTGCCCCCACGACCCGACCTCGGAAAAGCGGAAGAAAGCGGGTGGATAGCTTTTGCAACTTTTAGCTTCTATTTGATTTTTGATATTTTTAGATTTTTGTTTGTTTGTTTGTTTGTTGTTTTGTATTTTCTTTGCTTTTGATCTTTTATTTAGCTTTGTGCTATTTTAGCTTCTAGCTAGCTTTTTGCAACTTTCAGCTTATAGTTGCTTTTTGCTACCTTTAACATGCCTTTTGTTACTTTTGCCTTCCGGCTAACCTTTTTCTACTTTTATTCTTTAGTTAGAATTTTTGTTACTTTTATCTTTTAGCAAAGATTTAGGTATTTTTGGCTAGCTTTTTGATTTATTTACTTTTTGATCATGTTTCCATTTTAGATACCTTTTTGGTGCCTGTAGCTTTTACCCAGAATTTTGCTACTTTTGACTTTTAGCTAGTGTTTTTTTCTTGTAGCTTTTAGCTCACGTTTTGCATTTTTAGCTTTATGTCCCAGTTTCAGCTACTTTAGCAAATTGAAGCAAAATCCTTCTGCACTTAGCATTCATAATGCATTTTTCACAGAAAATCCAGTTTCTCTTATGATTCTAGATATGCAAAGCTTCATATTTGTCTCCCAGGCTTGCCACCACATCCCCTTTGAGGACGCACGCTCCTACAGCTTCAAAAATAAACTGATCATTGTGTCTGCGGAGGCTGCAGGAAACGGTTTGTACAACTTCATCGTGCCGCTGCGGGCTTACTACAGAACGAGGAAGGAGCTCAAACCCATCGTGCTGTTGTTGGAGAGCATGTGAGCACCGTTTTATTGTTCTGAAATTTAAAAAATAAATCCTCCAGCTTCAGACTGAAATAGGTCACCTGTTGATGTAAAACTGTAGCTGAGAGAGAGCTGTGGTGCAAAATCCAGGTTGATTCATCCTTTAAACAGCAAACAGAGGGAGGAGAGTCTCTGCGCTATTTAAGGTCCCTGTAAACATGATTTGTGAGAAGTTGAATGCTTTCAGGGCAGTGCACTCCACAGAGCTGGAACACAAACATAGTCAGCCAAATGAGAGTGGAATCCAATAAAAAGGCAATAAAGTGCTGAGTCACTCAGTGCTGTTATTTTCAGCTTTCTCAGAAGGCCTTTTGCCCGTTTAGTGTTTCAATCCTGAAGCAGGTTGGATGGTCATTGTGGGAACTTTAGTTGTTCTCTGTGGGACGCAGAAACCTCTCTTGTCGTGGCTCTAAACTCTGTCTTCTGATTGGTTCAGACCTGAAGCAGATTTCTTAGAAGCAATCTGCTGGTTCCCCATGGTGTTCTACACGGTGGGCTCCATCGAAAAGTAAGAAAATCTTCAACGTCATTTTTACATTAGTCTGTTCGCTGAGGATGTCGACATTTATTAATGATCTTGATTTTTTTTCTTCTCTCTTCAAAGCCTGGACAGTTTGTTGCGATGTGGCATCACGTTTGCCGACACCATGGTGGTGTTTGACAAAGAGAGCTCCATGATCGCAGAGGAGGACTACATGGCTGATGCGAAAACAATCGTCAACGTCCAGACTTTATTCAGGTCCGCTCTGTCCAAACTTGTTCTGTGTTGGAGTTCTTGCTTTTTGTTTTCGCTCGTGTGTTAAAAAAAGTTATCACTGGATCGACCTCTACAGCTGAATACCTTTTAGATTTGACTCAATTCAAGATGGTCGCCACATCCTGATGTTATAGCTGAGAGTCAGCCTCAGTATATGGTTAGATTAAAACTGGGTGATATGCAAAAGCTATTTCTCCAACAAATTATTTTTGTCTTCCTGTAATTTTCCTTCCAGGCTGTTCCCGGCTCTCAGTATCATCACGGAGCTCACGCATCCTGCAAACATGCGCTTCATGCAGTTCAAAGTCAAGGACCACTACTCCCTGGCTCTGTCCAAACTGGAAAAGGTACCGGCTTCACAACTTCAGCACACCTGCCGTCTTCCTTCCATCTCATTTCCTCCACCTTCGCTTCATTATCATATCAATAAAACAGGAAGGAAGACAAAAAAAAACTGCTCTGCATTATAAAAGATTCTGTTTATTAAAAAGTTTCAATGGATTTTATAATTTTATGCAGGGATAATATGAGCAAATTAAAATACACTGTAACTATGCCGCTTGTCTTTCTTTAGTTTTTGTTGTTAATGTCGTTCTCTGCAGCAGCTAATGAGTCCTTCACTGAGCATCAATGACAATTATTAACAAAGCATAAATTATCCGCCTCTTTAAACTAATGCTGGGCTGGTATGAGAACAGCACTGTTACACAAGCGTAAAGACATTAAAGGTTGAATTTCAGCTTCGTTTTTTTATCTCCCACTTCTTTTTTTTTCTGTCCACACAGCATACAAATCAGGTGAAGCCAAAACTAATTTGGCCGTGAGGTTGAATGTCAGCTTGTCAGAAGTAAATTCTCAACTGCAGTGTYGCCCTCGGCTGGGCCAAGCTCGATACAAGAGCAGCTTAAATAAACGACGGACTCCTCTGATCCCCACAGAAAGCCGGTGTGGAGTAAGCTCTGTGTGTTTGCTTTGGTTTGCAGAAAGAGAAAGAGAAGGGTTCCAATCTGGTTTTCATGTTCCGCCTGCCTTTTGCTGCTGGGAAGGTGTTCAGTGTGAGCATGCTGGACACACTCCTCTATCAGGTTTCTCAAACTCTCCCTGAATATAAAACACTCTTCTCCTTTTTGTTTGCCAGTATTCCACTAATGATCTGTGTCTGTTTGTTGCGACGTCCTGCCAGTCCTTCGTGAAGGACTACATGATCTCCATCACCAGGCTGCTGCTCGGCTTAGACTCCATGCCTGGCTCAGGTTTCCTCTGTGCCGTAAGTATTAATTATACACATAAAACAACAAGAAGAACGAGTTAAGTTTGGTTAGACCAGGGATGGGTAACTTTGATGGAGGGGGGCCACAAATTTTTATTGATACCACCAGGGGGCCACACATCACTGCACAGTTACCCAAACATAATAAAAATATAAATTTTAAAATGTTTGTTTGTGTGTGTGTGTGTGTGTGTGTGTG